CAGGGCGGGGCGGGTCCAGAGCAAAGCAGAGCCTGGGCAGCAAGATTCCCAGAGTCAGGAGGGCACTACATCTCACTGAACTTCAGCCTCACCAAAGGAGGTGCAGAAAGGGCCCGTCCTTGCTCAAGGCCAGACAGAGAGACAGGGATAGCGTGGAACCAGGACTCAGGTCCTTGGCTTCCACCAGGCTGGAGGCAGCCAGGCCTTCACTGGGGGCCGAAGGTCTTTCCTTTCACAAACACGCTTCTTACAGCTCCTCCTTCCTTGTGACTTCAGAGTTGAAAGGGCCTGCATGTGTCACGTCCAACCCTCAGGACACCCCAGGATTCCTTTCAGAAGTACCCCTGCTTAAACATCTCCTGCTTCAGAGAGCCCACTTTCCTCCAAAGGCAGCACTGCCTGTCACGAAGCTCCTCCTCACAGGGTCTGTCTCCCAAAGCTTCTGCTCCTGCTCCCAGCTCTGCCGGCCAGGGTGCAAAGGCTCTCAGAACCTTCTTACGGCACTGACTTCTGGTCCCTGCCATTCGGGTGCCTTTCTCTGGACACACCTCCATGTCCATGCCCCTCTCTGGACAGGCCCAGAGCTGGTCTGCCACCCAGAAAGAGTCTGACCAACACAGGACACCCCCTCCTGTGCTTGTAGTTACTTAAGGCTCCGAGGCCCTTTTTACATGGGGCCACTGCTAAGTCAATTCTCTCCTACCATGAAATAATACAGTGGTTTTTTTTCCCCCAACTCCTCTCCTCTTAGCACCTGTCCCTGTCCCTCCATCTGGGTCTGTTCCCAGGATTACCAACTGCTGCAAGAGACAAAAGGATGCCAGGAGGTCATCTGGTTCTGGTTCCCTGTCCTCCAGTTCCTCACTACCTTCTGGCAGGATCCTGGAGGAGGCCAGAGAGCCCGAGACCAGAGCCCTCACAGCATCTCCTGAGCTTTAGAATCACAAAGGTTAATTCTACAACCCAAGAGAAGGTGCCACGCCCCTCCGCCCATCAGGTTCATGCACCAGCACTCCAGCCAAGCCAAGCAGAGCGGAGCAGAGCCAGCCGCGGCCATGCGTACAGCTGGTCTGAACTGCCCAACCCAGGCCATGCACAGCTTTGGGTGCCCCCACTTCCAGCCTGAGCCATGCTTGGGGAATGTCCTCTTTACCCCTGGGCCTCCTCCTGTTTCCCAGGAATGTTGGTGGAACTGAAAAAACAAGACCACAGCAACCCCATGACTGGGGGGGCCCGGGGTGATTCAGCTAGGTTCAGCCTTGGGAAGCCCCAGACGCACGTGGGTGGGCTGAGCCATGGTGGCATCCACCTCCAGGACTCTTTCGATCACTCCAGACTTTGCTGGCCTCTCCTTTCCCATGTTATTCCCTGTGCACCGTCCATTCATCTGTTCCCAACCAGTCACTGCCTCATCCGTATCAGCAGCTCTGTTTACTGAGCACTGGCTGGAGTGGCATATGGGGGACAGCTCTGAAAGGGGAAGGGCTCTGATGAAGGAAGGCAGAGTCCTCCGAGGCTGAGGTAGGCCGGGGAAAAGATGGGACAGCAGGTCTGGATGTGCCCCTCCCTGTCAGCCCTGCCCTGGAACATCTGGCAAATCCAGGGCCTTTGGAACCTCTGCTCACGGAAGTCTCTGGTCCTTTCTGATCCTGTCTAGCTGGAGGTGATTCTACTGGGAGCCAGAGATGAAGGGAGGGGCAGGGTGGCCCAGAGCAGTCTGAATAGCATGTAAGGCTTCCTTCCATGGAAGGAAGGAGTGATACCACTTTCTCTAGCACATGCACACACCTGCATGCACACACATACCGATGATGTACAGAGGCACAGACGAGCCCACAGACTCCACAGACACATTCACGCACACGTGAGACCACACACAGAGACACATGCATGCAACTCCCCTGCCTTACTCAGAGGAGACGTGGGTACAGACATGGCCTCTCACCAAGAGACAGAAAGGACACAGACGGAACACGTGTGTACATACTTCTCTTTGGTGTGTCATGCAAAGACGGGAGAGAAGAGAGACGTTAGTAGTTAGTAGGCCCTGGCCAACCACGTCTGTGAGTGTGGGGGAGCTAGGTTCAGTTGCTCTGGCTTCTCTGGTCCTCTTCCCCATGTTCCTTCTTCTGGGACCTCTCTTGGCAGGGCCTGGGGGCAGGGGGAGTGTGTGTCTCCTACAAGCTGAGCTGGAGGCTGGGTGACCGAGTGACCATCACTCAGCTGGTCTTCCTTTCACAGTTTGGGTTTTTTTTAATCTTCAAAGAGGGAGGAAGTAAGCTTTTCCCCGAAAGCTCTAGAGAAGAGCTCCTGAGGGCCTGGGAAGGCTGGAGAGGGAGGGGCTGGCCTTGGCTCCCTCCTTCTGGGCGTCTCTGTCTAAATCTCCCTCAAGCCTTGACTTGGGATCAGTAGAGAAATGCCTCACGAATCTTCCTGGAGTCCACACTGGGTTTCCAGCAAGTTCTGTGGGATGCCCATCCCACCTACAGTCCAGACCCTCTGTTCTCTCTAGTTTGGAACCCACCCTGACAGCTCTGGCCATCAGGACAGCTGCTTCATTCCCTTTCTCACTCTAGTCTGGCTTTAAGTCCAGTCCCCCAGACCTGCAGTCTGAACTCCTCAAGGCTCAGGATGGTACTACCTCCTGCTGCGGGGTCTGTCCTCCCGCCCAGGCCCGGCCTGAGCAGTGGCCCTGGGACGTGGCTCAATTAGCTGCCTGGCTGCTGTTCCCCAGCTCTCCCTCCGCACGGTCTTCTGCAGGGGGCTGGAACACTTCAGAGCCCAGGGCCCTGGCTAGGTCAGCAAAGGTGAGGAAGACAGAACGTTCCAGAGTGCACACACTCAGAGGTTCAAACGCGGAAGGAATGAGGAGAAGAGGCCAAGTTTGTGAGAGGAAGCACACTTTTTGAGTATGGGGCTGGAAAGGCCCTTAGAACTTTGTAGAGATGCAGAATGAGAGGCCCGGGGCCAAGCATCCTGTCTGAAGCCATAGAACAGTGCAGGGGTCCAGAGAAAGGGTCAGAGCAGAAAGTGTCAACGCAGAGGGGCACTGGAGGGTTAGATGCCAGGAGGGGCAAGTCAGGAAGGCTAGCCCAGCCGGGATGCCAGGAGGGGCAAGTCAGGAGGGTTAGCCCAGCCGTTGGACATAGACAGGTACCGTACCACACTCTTTCAGAAGCTCATCCGACCAGTCCTGGCAGTCCCTCTGAGCATCACACACTTTCCCGCCGTCCACGCACTCGCCACTCTTACACTGAAATCTGCGGGGACCCTCACAAGTTGACTCTGTTGGGCCGGACAAGAGAGTGGACAGTGCCTGTGAGATCTTAGACGGGAGGGGTTGGGCTGGGCTGGGCTGGGCTGGGGCCCACGGGAGGCAGGCAGAGCTCCAGCCCCACAGGTCCCTGGAGGGGGCCTGGGACAGACAGGCAAATCCAGGAACCTCTGCTCACAGAAGGACAGGATCCCGGGATAATCGGGATGCCAAGCCTCATCTAGCTGGGCGGGGCCGTGGGGATCCCCATCTGGGCCCCAGGGTGGGGGACAACGGACGGACTGGGCTGCAGCTCTGTAGAGACCTTGGAGGGAGAACTGACCAGCTCCTGAAGGGGGAACTTTTACTCGTGACCCTGGATAGGGGAAGCTGCCCCCTGCCCAGCCTGTTATCCATTCTCCGGGATGACCAGTGGGTTAAGGTCCCTGATTCTGCAGAGGGCAAGTGATGGCCAGAGAATTAAGGGAGCTCCCCGAGGAGCAGGATTCAGCCTCTGCTCAGTCTGGGAATCAGTGTGGGAAGCCACTCAGAGGCTTGGACCTGAACACGTGGCAGGGGCTGGACTTCATGCAGTGCCCTTTCACGCTCCCCTCCCCCCAGGTCTCTCTCAGCGTCTGAAAACCCAGCTCTGATGTCGCTAGGACCCCGTGGAAAGGGAGCCAGGTGACTTGGGGCAAGTGATACGCTGGAGGACACGCATCGCAGGGACCAAGGGGAGATGCCTCCCGCCTGAGCTGGGAGAGCACGCAGGGCTCTCCTCCCAGAGGATGCCGCCCTCGCCTCCACACGCACCCTGAAGGCAGCCAGCTTCATCACTCCCGTCAGGACAGTCCTGCTCCTGGTTGCAGCGCTTGATGGCAAGGACACACGTCCCATCCCCACACTGGAACTCTTCCCTGCGGCAGGTACCCAGCGCTGCCAGGAAAGGGCAAGGGGAGAGGGGTCCGGATCAGCCTGGTGCTGACGGCTGTCCTCACCACCGCCTCCCCCATCCTCATGCCTTATCCACCCCGGCATGAACAGAACCAGTGTTTGCGCTTCGGAGTCCTCAAAGGACGCCTGGCCAAGGCACCTCCAGGGCACAGAGGGGGAGACTGAAGCTCAGAGAGGGGGAAGGCCTTGCCCAGGGTCACACAGCACTCTGACTGGCAGAGACAGGACTAGACCCAGGTCTCCTGTTTCCCTGCCCGCCACCTGTCCCCAGGCCACTCCTCCAGAACAGACGCGTGGCCTTCTTCTGAGTCTCAGTGCTCACTACCCAAGGCCGGATGCGCTCAGCAAACCCTTCCTGAGCAGCGTTCTTCCAGGGGTGAGGGGGCTGGGAGCCCAGACTGCCAAGAGCCTTCCCATCCTCTAGGGCCCAGGGTGCAGAGGGGGCCGAGGAGGGCACAGTCAGGACCCCAGTGTGTGCGATGCGCTGGGGGAGAGGGCGGTCGGGGCCCCGC